ACTCATTTTTTGATGGTTTTGAACCCCATTCGAACCCTAACTATTTTCTACTCTTTCCTTTCATATTTTAGTGTTAGATTAGGTATAGATTTAGGTTTTCTTTATCATATTTCAAGCTTGTATTGAAGGATCTACACTTGGATTTCAAGATTCTACCATCATTTCAATAGAGGAATAAGGGTCAAATAGGCCACTGAACTGCACACGAAAATGCAATTAGGCCACTGAACCTAAAAAACCTACAATTAGGTCCCTAAACTAACCAATTTCATTCAATTTGTCCATTTTTCAAGTTTCTCAAGTTACTAACAGGTTAACCCTTCACCTAGAATGCATATGTGGCATTTTTTTTAAATAATGTATTTTTAAATTAGTTTTTTAATATTTAATAAATAAAAACTAAAATAATTTATTTTTAAATTATTTTTTTTAATGTTTAATAAATTAAAACTAAAATAATTTGTTTTTTTTTTTATAAATAAAATATCGTACAGGGGCTTAGATTTTATTTTCAAAAAAAAATGTTATTGTAGTTTTTATTTATTAAGCATTAAAAAACTAATTTAAAAATAAATTATTTTAGTTTTTATTTATTAAATATTAAAAAATTAATTTAAAAATATTTTTTTTAAATACCACATATGCATCCTAGGTGGAGGGGTAACCTGTTAGCAACTTGAGAAACCTGAAAATTGGACAAATTGAATGAAATTGGTTAGTTTAGGGACCCAATTGTAGGTTTTTTAGGTTCAGTGGCCTAATTGCATTCTCGTGTGCAGTTCAGTGGCCTATTTGACCCTTATTCCTTTCAATAGATAATCTTCTTTTCTCCTTTTATCTCTTTATCTTGCAATGTTTATGCTTTACCCTCTTGTTTTTATGTTCTTTATGCTATTTAATCATGAGTAGTTAGTTTATGGACTTGAGTTAGGGTTGTATTATCTATCTTGATGCTTGATTTATGATTATTGCAAAAATGGGAAGAACACTAACCTAGGGTTCTTGAGTTTATGAAGGATTTGTGTTTGTATATTGTCAATGTTTGGTGTACAACATTCATTAGCATGTTTTGGAGGATTCTTGGTCTCAATGAGAGTTGGGTTAAGATTCCAAGTCACTCCTTGCATAAACCCGATTTTTCCTATGAAATTAGGGGAAATTGGGGGTTTTAGATGCTTTGTGCTCTTGAAGAACTTGGAGTTTATTCACCACGAGAGTGGGACAATTCCTTGTTAATTTGCTCACGTGAGTGACTTATATAGACTAGGATTCCTACGTGCATCCCCTCTATTCCTTGGTTGTGTGATTTTCCCCAATCCTTAGGTTGTGCTATGCATCTAGAAGATAATGCTCCCTAGCTTGAGTCCTATTTCTTTATTTCGTGTTTACATCTTGTTCATATGTGTTCATGTTATTTTGTTTAGTTACCGTAGTCTTAATTTCATCATGATTTGCTTAGCTTCTTGTTGGTTTCCTTATGCTAGTGCCTAGTTTATTGCGATTGCGTATTGCGTGCCATATCCCCTAATCCCCTGAGGACGACATAACACACCCGAGCTCACATCTTATTTTTGCTACATCAGAAATCTAAGAAGAAACCCACTGTCTCCAAATCATCTTCAGAGGCAGAATATAGAGCTTTGGCAACTACAACATGTGAAATTCAATGGTTAAGCTTCTTGTTAGCAGAGTTGGGAGTTAATCATTATGCACCAGTAGCAGTATACTGTGACAGCAAGTCTGCTATTGCTATTGCAGATAATCTTGTATTCCATGAACGCACCAAATATATAGAACTCGACTGTCACTTGGTCAGGGAGAAGCTCAGCAATGGACTCATCAAACTGCTCCACATTTCCTCCTCAAATCAGCTAGCAGACACCTTTACTAAAACTCATTGTCCTAGTTCTTTTTTTGGTTATATATCCAAGCTTGGATTGTTAGATTTGTACAATCCAGCTTGAGAGGGACTTTCAGGAAGTATAGGATGGTAACCCGTGGCAACATCCTACACTCCATGGTTGTTAATTCTGTTCACTTCTTTTCCCTCCCAATGCTGATGTATTAAACCCTTTCTGTTCTAGTCTGTTGAGCTTAATGAAACAATTCAGACTTTTCCTCTTCTGTTCTTCTTGTTTACCCCTTTTTTTGGTTCTTCAAGCTGCTTCGTGACATACAAATCCACGAACTAAATGGTTGGAAGAAAAAATGATAATAAAAAATTACTATTTTGCCCCTCTAATTTAACATCAATTTCACGAAAAAATTAACAGAGGACTAGTAGTAGTAACTTTAGAGAAATTAGAGGACTTATTGTGGTAGGCTTATAAGTTGAGGACCAAAGCTGGTTGAGTATATATCGTCTCGCCTGTCTATCAAGTTGGGAAATTTTTTATATATACTTTGACGTGTACATGCTATGAGAAAATATAAATTCCATATAACTAACTCATTATTTTAGTCACTACACCAATATTTGAATTAGGGGTGAAAATAGACCGGGCCAAACTCTAGAAAAATAGGCTTGGGCCTGCTATAGAAATCTTAGGCTTGAGCCTGAGCCTAGGCCTATGCATGGATTTTTTTTTAGGCTCAAGCCGTAGTCGACAATTGGCATGACCTGGCCTAAAAAAGCATTTTTTTAAAGGCTATTGAATATGTAAGCCATTACAAAGGCTTCATACTTTGAGCCTATTTAAAGCCAATCGTTATACTGTGCACCAGGGCGCAGATAGCAATGTGCGCCCCGCGCCTCCCAAAATGATTTCGTTTTGTTAAGTTGTGTGAGGAATTAACGCGAAGAAAATGTATGTGTATTTAGTTATAAAATTATGTGTTTTCAGGTATAAAATTCTGTGTTTTTAGGTATAAAATTCTGTACATTCGAAATTGGGGATTTTTATCCTTTTAAAAAAGATTATGTGTTTTTACGTATAAAATTCTGTGTTTTCTTTTATATAATTTTGTACATTCGAAACATGGGAATTTTCGGTTATAAAATTTTATGTTTTTAGGTATAAAATTCTGTGTTTTCAGGTATAAAATTATGTGTTTTCTATTATATAATTCTGTACATTCGAAACATGGGGATTTTCAGTTATAAAATTCTGTGTTTTCAGGTATAAAATTCAGTGTTTTCAGGTATAAAATTATGTGTTTTCTATTATACAATTCTGTACATTCGAAACATGATTTTTTTAAGGAGTTAACAGTAGACACGCGAAAAGGAAATAAAACGACGTCGTTTTGGGCAGAGCGCATAATGCATTGTGCGCCCTGGTGCACAGTATAATTTTCCATTTAAAGCCTACGTTTAAAAAAAAAATTAAAAATATGTCCAAGTACCTAACACAAATATACACTAATACAAATATACAATTATACAAAGCTAATACATGAGAAGTATATCACTAAAAATCTATGATTATTAGTCACATGATAATTAGTCAATAACTACATAACTGATAAGCCTTGAATTAGCCCATAATTATGCTTCGTTTTATTAATTTCTGAGCGAATGCTAGGTGATTGTGCAAGAAGGAAACGTATTTCAGGTGTTTATGGCTTGAGGAAGGAAATGTAGATTGGGGCATACATGAACTTAAAATGAGGACGAATCAAGATGATATTAAGGCCAAGTGATTCAAAGATGGAATGACAAAATCATAGCAAGGATCAACGGAGCATCGGTGCGAAAGAGAAGCAAAACGTGACACTGCTGTTCTACACTTCTGTTATGCCCGTCACGGTGGAGGTCACGGCGTGACCCCAATCGTGACGAGCATACATCATTTCTGAAGTTGGGGTGTCACACTGGCAGTCACGCCGTGACAGCCAGCGTGATCCCAACCTTCCGCAGGTATTACTGTTGGTCACGGTTAAGGTCACACCGTGACCCTGACCGTGACCAGCAGAGACCTGCGAGGCTTAGGTCTGGTCACGATGAAGGTCACGCCGTGACCTCCATCGTAACCAGGCATTCTGGAAGCAGTTTATTTGGCGCAATTGCAATAGTATAAATAGGAATAGGCGTTATTTTTAAGTTATCAGGTAGTTTTCTAAGTCTTCTTTTTAGGTTCTCTCCACAAATCCATTCTAGAACATCTATTCATTGTAAATCCATCAACTCTTAAGATTTAGTGAAGAATTATCACTTGTAACTACAACTTCTACTTCAATTTTAGATTTACCTTTTACAAATTGAATCAAGTAAGGTTTTAATTCTTATTCTCCTATTTTATAAACTACTTCTGTACTTGAATTCAGTGCATATTATTTCAATTGCTTTTAGTTTTTCGATTTCACTATATTGAATTGCTTTGTATGAATGCCATCATGAATTGAATTGCCAAATCTAGGTTTTGCTATGCCTCTAGAATGAATGTGATTGTGAATTTGGAGAATTGTATGGACTCTTGTTTGGTTAGGGCCCTACTATGCAAGAGGTCATTGGATTTGGTGCTTCACCTATGAGAATAGGGATTTACCATAGCCAAATCTATCACATTTCTAACTTACTCTTGAGAAAGGAGAGTTGGAAGGAAATGAGCACACAAGATGTTTGATTAATTGTCTCACCTAGTCTAATTGCTATGAGAATGGGATTAGAACCTTGGTGAGAGTCCAATGTCCACGAGAGTGGCATTGACATTGACTTAACTTCCTTGCATTCATTGTTGAACATTGTTTAGCCTAGAATCTTAAAACATTAAGAATCATTCGTACATTGCTATTTGATCTAAGTCCTCTCTTTTATCCTTGTCTATTACTTAATCATTTATTTGTTTTATAATTGTCTCTATGCAAACAATCGTTTCCTTTTGGTTAGTTTTCAAACACTCAATGATCTCGTGTTTAATCCATCTTTACTCAATTCCCTTAATAGTCATTCCTAGAGGACGACACTCACTAAAACAACACAAGTTTAAAACATATTATAAAACCGAAAGTCCACAATACAAAAATCTAACATAAGTTTAATCCAATGTCTTGAAAACTCATTAATAGTAAGGGCATCCCCAAAAGGGGATTGTTGTTGGATTTTCGAACAGTAAAAACTTGATGAGGGGATCTTTAACAAATGTGGAGGATAACTTCTTTCTCCTGCAAGAGGGAAAGTTTTGTCAGAAAAAGCAAAATAAAAAATTAAGCCCCTGTCAAATCAGCTTCTTCCTCTTAAACTTCGCGTCAGTGCCTATTGCCTTGGCTAAAGTGAAATTCATTTTATTTCATTTTATCCTTTTTTATTTTGCTTTTAGGCCAGCTTTTTTTTTTTTTTTTTTTTTTTTTTTTTCATGTTGAATTTTATTATTAATTTTCTATATAATTTAAAAAAAAATTGTAAACATTTATAATTTTAATTTATTTTAATTTTAATATGTATAATTTAAATATAATAAAAATAATAATTGTAATAATAATTTTTATAATGATAATAAATAAAGAAATAATTAAAATATAGTATGATAAAATGGTGGGTCCACTAAAAGTTTTGAAAAAACTTAAAACTAATGGGAAGATGAGGTTTTGTGATTGAGTGAGATAATGGATGATGAGGTGGATGCTGGGACCCACAAAAATCTGGAGTAAAATCCACAACTATTGAGGATGCCCTAACCACAATATAATCATAATAATATCATAAAAATATAATATAATATAAAATGAAATAAGTTACATCTCCAACTTAGGCTCCAGCTTAATCTCCAACTTAGGTTCCAGCTTTATCTCCTCTTTAGGCTCCAGCTTAATCTCATCTTTCAGAATCCTCCTACACAATGAAAAAAATAAATTGAGAATGAATAACTAGTCCAATCAAGTTCAAGTTCTCATAAATCATAACATTTTTGTTAACTTGTTCAGAAATAGATTCAATTGCATAGTTAGTTGTTATCCTTTATAATCTCATATATATTTAACTATCAATAGCAAAACATAAACAAAATAATCTCATAAATATTTAACTATCAACATTTAACAATCAATAGCAAAACATAAACAAAGTAACATCTACCGATTACTCTAGATATTAATATAATATTTGAGAGAAGAAGATATTAAGATAATATAACAAATTAACATTTTTAACAGTAGACAGTTTAAACATACACTGTATCAAAAATTCAGACTATCAATGTATACTGTATACCACTAACCTGTTGTCACCGCTCGTGGGATGTTGGAGTCGTCGCGGTCGGCTGCATTGCTGCATCCTGTGGCTTGCGCGTCTGCGTGGATAGAACATCAGAATAGGCAAATAGATAATATAACAAATTAACATTTTTAACAGTATACAGTTTAAACATACACAGTATCAGAAATTCAGACTATCAGTGTATACTGTATACCACTAACCTGTTGTCACCGCTCGTGCTGTCACCGCTCGTGGGATGTTGGAGTCGTCGCGGTCGGCTGCATTGCTGCGTCCTGCGGCTTGCGCGTCTGCGTGGATAGAACATCAGAATAGGCGAATAGGAAATTAGAGGTTACAATTTGGAATTTTAGAGGGCTCAAAAGTTTTGAAATAATACCTTGATAGTCTTATATGAGTACCACCTGGACACCGGAAACAATGCGCCAGGTCTTCATCACAATCAATGCGTGTAGTTCTGCCTTGCCAATCTCTACATGTAATCTTCAAACCATTACGTTCTAAATCTATCCCTCGCCTTAAAATGTTATCTTTCAAACAGTCCAGTGAGGGACTGTCCATTTCAAATGCGAACGTTCTTCTTTGGTAATGCAAAAATATTACCCAATCTGTTTAGAGTAAAATTGTAATTTAGTTAAAATTAGAAATAGTATAATAGATTCAATACATTAAATTAAAATCAATGGAATATACATCTAAATAGATACTATTTTTATATGAATTGCATTACTTACACTTCATATTATTTGCTAATCATGGTCTGAAATGCATGACTTATTCTAATACAGTAATACTGAATGTTCAAATCAGAAAGCAAGGTAATCATGCTATCTAACCAATGTCATCATTATAAAAACTCTAGAGTGATCTAGGGGGCGTTTGGTAAATTGGGTTAGTGAGCTTAACTAGTTGATAGCATGCATTAGTTGAATGTAGAAAGATGTTTGGTACATTGGCAAAAAAGTTATTCAAAAAAGCTACTTTGAGTAGCTTTATTATAAATTTTAGCCTTTTGGAACAATAATTAAACTGTTACAAAACACTAATTAATCAAACATTTAATTATATCGATTGTTTAATCAAGCCAAACAACTAATAGTGGTCAAATAAGCCAAAATAGACTAATAGACTAAGGCCCTGTTTGTTAAAATGGCTGTGTTAGCTGATAGCTGTTAACTGTGAACTGATTGTGTTAATTAGAAGGTATAAATAGTTGATAACATTAGCTAATAGACAATAGGCCATTTTTTTTTACCAAACATGGCCTAAGTATTTTATCAATATGCCATGTTTATACTGAAGATATATGCATTCGTTGCACAGCATAACTATTGAAGAATTACTGAGTAGTACCTGTTATAGGAGGAAAAGCCCAGTTGAGGGGTTTCTCATCTACAAAGAGTCCAGGAGGAATATTCGGGATGTTTGTTGTGTCCATTCTGTGAAGTGAGATTGCAAAAGAGAGATGTCAAAACTTTTATTTGATAAAAGAGTGACAAGCAAGATTGATATGGTATATATGTTGTGTTATGTGAAAACTTATAAAGTATCAATTAACATTAATGTCAATTACATAAAGTATCATTATAAATTACTATCGATAATATATAATGATATCATGTATGACCGGTACTGTTATTAATTGGTTGGTATTGTATCTTTTTTCCATGATTCTAGTCCCCCCTTACATGAATTTTTTGGCCCCGCCACGGTTTATACGAGCATAACAGAAAGTAGGTATAATTGTATATATACAATATATAAATAAACAGCAGCATTTTGAAACAATACCTAAATGATCCTTTGCAAATTGAGCATACAAATATAAACCAATAAGCATACAAATATTAAATATACAGTATAAAAAATACCTGTCGCTGGTTCACGTTAGATCGTGATCTGAGAGTAGAGGCGGAGGCCGAAAGGCGAGAGATCGTGATCTGAGAGTAGAGGCGGAGGCCGAAAGGCGAGAGATCGTGATCTGTGGAGGCAACTCCTAGGTTAGATAATACTCCGTAGATTACTTTTCTTTCCAACTGCTCAGTAATAGATTGTTTATATATATTGAGATAAGGGTAAAATAAAACTTTGTAAAATTGTAGAGGTGGCCAAAGTCCAAGCCTTGGCCGGTGCCGTGTCGGGCCTGGGCCTAGACTAGCACGGTCTGGGATCAGTCCTGAATTATTTAGGCCAGTCTCGTGCCGAGCTTACCTCGAGCCTGGGCCCGTGCCTCTCGTGTGTCGATTATACTTAAAAAAAATATTTGACCCACTTATATTTAATTGAGGGCACTTCAACTTTTTAATTTAATAATGTTAATATATATATATATATATATATATATATATATATATATACACATTAAGATTCATATATATCATCATTAATATTTTAGATGAATCAAAACTCACATATTTGTAATTATGCTAGCGTATGGGTGAACCATAACCGTCACTGTAATAACCGTAACGAAAGAACCGTCCGTACGGTTCCGGTAAGGTTTGTAAAATTTCGGAACCAGACGGTTCCGGTTCCAAACTGTGAATTTAAAAAAAAAAAAAAAAAAAAAAAAACAAGTAGCCACGGCTATAGAGATTCAAACTTCAATTCTTGTTAAAGAATTGAAGTTTGAATATTTCAAAATGGAATTATAAATTTGTTATAAATAAATAATAAATAAATAATAATAATAATAATGATAGCATCGAGCTAATGTCTAAAGGATAAGTATTTAACTATTTATAGAGTTGGAAATAAGATTATAAATAATACTTTTACAAGATAAGCATTACTAAGCAAGTTAGATAGATTGGCTTGTCATTTTTACATAGCTTTCAACATTACTTGAGGACACATGTTTGATCATCACCTTCATGAATTATCCATTTTCTTTGAAATGAGTTAAATCATTGTATTGAACATTAATGGGCTATTTTGGTTCACGGAATATGCCTGGAATGACATAGCATTCCCAGTAATAGGCTTATTCCTCTATTTGGTAACCACTTGTATTCCCAGGAACATTGTTCCCGGGAATGACCTATTCCCCTTGCAAGGGGAATAGTGATTTCTGGGCCCCCCCTGGTATTAGGCTATTCTTGAGTTCTCGAAAATAGCCTAAAGTTTCTATTTCCTATTTTATCCCCCAATTAAATTTATTTCCTATTTCACCACCATCGCTACCGCCGTCGTCGCCACCACCAGTACCACTACCCTAGCATCGTCATCGTCGTCGTCGCCGCCGCCACCAGCACCACCACCGCCTACCACCAACACAACCGTCGTTTCCGCCGCCACCATCACCCCACCACCGCTGCCGCCACCACCATCACCGCCGTCGCCGCCACCACCACCGTCGCCGCCACCACCACCACCACCACCGCTTTCTTTGGTGGCCTGCGTGCCTCCTTTGCACTCTTGGAGGTTTTGGCCAACCAATAGATTTAGTTTGACGAGACGTAGGCGTGAAGCGTTGCGGCTGTGTTGGCACTATTGCATCGTTGCATTGTGGTGCAGAGTCGCGGCATTGCAACTTTGTGGTGGTGCGGCATGGTGGCGCACTAGTACATGGTGGCATGTAGGTGCAACTATTCTCCTGGAAATAGCTGGTATGCTGCTGGTTTTTATGAAAATTGGTGCGACGCCGATAGGGGAATCTACGCCTCCATTTCAGCACTCCTATTATTATTTATTTTTCTTCATTTATTATTCCTTTGATCTGGCTTATTAGTTGGGCTTGGGTCCATTATTTTATTCTTTGATTCTTTAGGTTTGGCCTGTTAGGGCTTAAGTCCATCCTTTATTTTAGTTTTTTTTTTTTTTTAGTATAAACCCAATTTCTAGGGCTGAGTATGTGTTATGGTCATATTTGGACCATCACTTGTAAGACATTTTAATTCATTTGCTTAATAAAGTTTTGTTTAAAAAAAAAATAAAAAAAATATAGAGTTCAATATTATTTTAATTTATATCACAAGGAAAAAATAGAAACAAAACATTATATTTGTTCACAAAAGATGAATCCCCAACGCCAATGTCTCCCACGTCCCGACCTGACAGACTATTTGGGAGAATGAAAATCATGGTATGCTTAGTATGCACATAAAAGGAGTCCCCTTCACTTTGAGAAGTTTCTCCCACACTGTCGCTTGTGAGACTCGATTCCGAATCATTATTCTTAAATTTCATTCTAGTGACCAATTGAGCTGCCCATGCGCGTACCGTTGCAATTATCTTGCAGTGGTCATTGGTAACTCCATATGATGTTTTAAGCTATCATATTCACTTGTTGTTATACTAAAAGTGGCATCAATATATCCAGAGGGGATTGGCAGTGGCTCAGTAAATAGAGCATGTGATTTTATGGAAGTGTCTGAATTATTATTAACCCATGAATGTTTTGCTGCTCTCCTCAATCCACTTAGCTCCACTGCAACTTCCTTCATAGTTGGCTTTTCCTCCCCCTTCACATTTAAACACCTTCTTGCAAGTAAGGCAACCTCTTGTAACTCTTCAGTGTTTCCCTCACAAACAATGTTGTCATCAAGAATCTTGAACAATTGATTGATTTTCAATGATGAAATGAAATGCTCATACAGACTCCTCTCTTCCACCGGACCATCGTAAAGTACTGCCCTCCTACCGGTTAACAATTCCATCAAGACAACTCCAAAACTATAAACATCACTCTTTTCTGTTAATTCGTGGGTCTGCATGTATTCTGGATCGAGATAACCAAATGTTCCTTGCACCATAGTTATCAATTGAGTTTGGTCTTGTAGAACTAACCTCGATGCTCCGAAATCAGATACTTTGGCAATGTACTCATTATCCAGGAGAATATTTGCGGGTTTAACATCTCTGTGGATTATAGGAGGAAAAGCTGCAGAATGCAAATAAGATAGCACCTCAGCGGTTTCAGTAGCTATTCTTAAGCGGATCGGCCAAACTAATGTGGATGCCTTGTCTTTGTCATTTAGATGGTCAGATAATGTTCCATTGTTTATGAATTCATAAACGAGTAACGGAACTTCTATTTCTAAACAACAACCAAAGAGTTTGACTATGTTTCTGTGATTGATTTGGGAAAGCACAATAACCTCATTGATGAACTGCTCGACTTGGGTTGGGTCCAACATTTTGGGTTTCTTAACGGCTACCATTCGACCATCAAGAAGGTGTCCTTTATAAACAACTCCAAAACCTCCTTGACCAATGATTCTAGTTTGGTCATAGTTGTTGGTCGCCTTTTTAAGCTCCTGGGCAGTGAAAATTCTTGTTGTGCCGGAAGACGTAGTGCCTTGAGCAATCTTTTGCTTCAAAATCAATCCTCCATTTTCTCTAAAGAATTTCTCTCTGATGTGTGTTGATTTCCTCTTTCGATATCCCAAGTATAGACAAAACCCACTTATCAACAGCACAGTGCACAAAGCAATACCTGCATGCCATGCATATATGCAGTAATGACAATGACAAAATAATGGAAACCAACCCTAAATAGCTACCAAAAATGAAAGCGAAGGATAATAGAAATGAGCCCGCGCGAGCTTAACTCACTGATTTAGTAGGCATTATTTAAGAGAAAATGAAATGATAATAGAAACAAGCTCAGGGCATTGGTTTACCAATAACATGTTCAATAATCATCCGTTTAGAAGACGAAGTGCACCCTTTCCCATTATCTTTGCAATCATCCTTAGGTAATTGGCAGACCGATTCGCCCTTCCCATCGCCATGGTAACCTTCCTTGCAATGGCACTCATAACTACCTTCAATATTTGAGCAAATTGAGTTTATGAAGCAGTTGTTCTGTCTATTTACACATTCATCAATATCTGCAAAAGCCAATTAAAATGATTAGAAAATCACTAACTTCTGTTGGGCGACGGCTCGCAAAGCCGAGTTTAGCACTTTTTCAACGTAGCGCTGACTATTACACAAGTATAAGGAAAATAAAATTGCACATTCGCAGCAAGTTATAACTTGTAGTATAGTAGTAAGCGCTTGATATTGATAATTGGTATGTATTAGCAGGGCTGTCCCATTAAAAATAGGAGCCCTGTCTATTTATAGAGACATAATCCCATATGACTCTATAACTGAAGTAATTGAATCTAAATCTATTTGAACTTTATCTTATTATATTCTATAACAAAAATAAAAATATAATAAAAAATTTTGTCCAAATATAATACATAAAAATTCAACAACAAAAATACAATACAAAATTTTATTTAAAAATGACATTTTTAGTGCATATTTAAATAAAAAATTATTTATCAAATTTTATTTTCAATTACAATTAAGACTAATCTATGCATGGATTCTAAAAACATATTTATCAAGTAAAAAATAATGACTTTATATATATGTATGTGTATATATATATATATATATATATATATATATATATATAATTTTAAAATTTAGCCCTCAAAAATTGGTGGGGTCTTGTGATGTTGCCGTGGCTAGACATGGCCAGGGCCGGCCCTGGTATTAGAGCAAGTCACAGGAATCCTATTGAAAGCATGCTATGCAGTTGAAGTTGACAGGTATGTGAGAGAAGATAGTTGGGCAGCAGTACCCAACATCTTACCATCAAGAAATGTGAAGCTAAATTAAAGTTACACCTTCCGTTACTAATTATTTCGTATAATTTTTGACGTAGCGGTAAATGCTTAATTCTGTCAAGTTCCAATCAATTTTTCCGATCACCTTAAAAGTGAATAGAGATTTAAGATATTTATCAACTCCACCTATCAAATGTGGTTGGTAACTTGGTACTTTTAACCGACTTTGAAGGGTGGTCAACTTTAGTAAAAATCGTAATTTTTGTCCACTTTGTTTGTAAAATTTTGACCGTCAATCTGAAATTTTAATTTTTAATTTGTAAAATAATATACTTATCCTTTGTATAAAATAAGAAGAGAATTTAAAATAGAAATGGAGACAAGAAGAGAAGAAAGTGAGAGGTGGATGAAGGTGAAGAATTTTATTTTATTTATTTACAAAAT